GGAGAGGGTATCCATGGCCACTGCACCTTACTCTTCCTTTCTGAACATTATTAAAATTTAATTTTGAAAATTCTTTAATGATATTCCAAGGAGCCTATTGAAGTTACTAACAGTGTGTCTTCCTTTAAAGTGGGAGTATTTGAGGCAACCAGTGCTGGTTGAGTTGTTCTAGGCCCTGCTGTTTTCCATGGATGGCCAAGTTTATTCGGCTAGAGTACTGGGTGCATCAGAAGAGGACTTCAGAGTGGCTGAATCATATTCCATGGTATACGTATATCACAGCTTGTTAATCCATTCCTGGGTTGGTGGGCATTTAGGTTGTTTCCACATTTTGGTGATTGTAAATTGAGCTGCAATAAACAGTCTAGTGCAAGTGTCCTTGTAAAAGAATTTTTTTTTTTCTTCTCGGTAGATGCCCAGCAATGGGATTGCAGGATCAAATGGGAGGTCTAGCTTGAGTTCTTCGAGGGTTCTCAAAGAACTCTGGAACATCTTTGGAACAACTGTTTGGTAACCAGAAGCCATATGCCTTCCAAAAAGGTTGTATTAGTTTGCAGTCCCACCAGCAGTGTAAAAGTGTTCCCTTCTCTCCACATCCATACCAGCATCTGCAGCTTTGAGACTTTGTGATATGGGCCATTCTCACTGAGGTTAGATGATATCTCAGGGTGGTTTTGATTTGCATTTCTCTAATAATTAGGGATGCTGAGCATTTTTTCATGTTTGTTAGCCATTTGTCTATTTTTACATCTTTTGTATTAACCTGGATGGATGTGGAACGCATTATTCTTAGTAAAGCATCACAAGAATGGAGAAACAAGAATCCTATGTACTCAATTCTGATATGAGGACAATAAAAGTCTTAGTACAAGGTGGGGGTGGGGTCGGGGATGGGGAGAGCTGAGAAAGGGAAAGCGGGAGGAGGTGGGGGGACCAGGGGTGTGGTACAACTTTTGGGGGTAGGACACAATTGTAAGAGGGTCCTTATCTAACATAAGCAATCAGCATGACCTGGTTCTGTGTACCCTCAACGAATCCCCAACAATAAAAAAAAAAAAAAGAAGAATGCAGAGATCCTGAGCAAAGAGAATGAAGCTGGAGGCATCACACTATCTGAGTTCAAAATACATACCTTTAGCATACTACAAAGACATAGTAACCAAAAGAGCATGGTACCAACATAAAAACATACACCTAGGCCAAAAGGAACAGAATAGAGAGGACAGAAATAAATCCAAGCAATTACAGCCACTTAATTTTCAAAATAGGTGCCAAGATACATTAGGGAAAGGACAGTCTTAGGCAGTGCCTGCGGCTCAGAGAAGTAAGGCACTGGCCCCATATGCCAGAGGTGGTGGGTTCAAACCCAGCCCCGGCCAAAAAGTGCAAAAAAGAAAAAAAAAAAGAAAGGACAGTCTCTTTAATAAATGGTCCTGGGAAAACTAGATAGCCATATGCAGAAAAATGAAACTAGATTCCCATCTCTCACCATACACAGAAAAGTAAAATCAAAATGGATCAATGACTTAAATCCAAGACCTGAAACTATGAAACTATTAAAAGAAAACATTGAATTGATACTGGTGGAAATGGAGAGGAAAAAAACCATTAAAGAAATGCTTTGGAACATCTGGGCAAAGAATTTTTTGGTAAGATCTCAAAAGCACAGGCAACAAAAGCAAAAATAGACTAATGGCTTTATATCGAGCTGAATAGCTTCAGCACAGCAAAGGAAACAACAAAGTGAAGAGGCAATCTACAGAATGACACAAAATAGTTGCATACCATCCATCTCATAAGGGATTAATAAACAGAACATATAAGGCACTTAACACAATAGCAAAAAAATTAATAATCTGATTGAAAAATGGGTAAAAGATCTGAAAAGACATTTCTCAAAAGAAGACATATGGATGGACAAGAAGTATATGAAAATTGCTAAACATCATTAGTCACCCAAGAAATGCAAATCAAAACCACAACGAGGTATAATCTCACCCTGATCAAAATGGCTCTCTGTCAAAAACACAAAAAATTAACAGATGCTGGCAAGGATGCAAAGGAAGGGAAACATTCATGCATTGTTCATGGGCATATAAATTAGCATAGCCATTATGGAAAGCAGTATGAAAGCTCCTTAAAAAATAAAAACAGATATACCATATGATCCAGCCATCCCACTACTGTATATATCCTATATATACAGGATATACTGTATATATCCAAAAGAAAGGAAGTCAATATATTGAAGAGATATCTGTACTCCTATGTTGATTGACAATTGCCAAGATATGGAATCAACCTAAGTGCCCATCAACAGATACATATATAATGAACTGTGAGTATAACTACACATACACACAATGGAATATTCAACCATAAGAAGATAATGAACTCATATTCGCAGCAACATGGATGGACTGAAGGTCATTATGTTAAGTGAAATAAGACAGGCATAGAAAGACAAATATCAAGTGTTCTCACTCATATGTCAGAGCTACCAAAGTGGACCTCAGGAAGATAGAGAGTAGACTGGTGGTTACCAGAGGCTGGAAGGGGTAGAAGCAAAGGGAGAATGAAAAGAGAGTGATTAATGGTTAAATAGAAGAAACAATTAAGATTGGACAGCTACCAGGTTAAAAAAAAATAGAAAGAATAAGATCTACCGTTCAGTAGGGGATTATAGTTAACAATATGGTTAATGTGGTCCCCAGGTTATGGACAAGATATGTTCCTGAGAACATCTTTAGGTTGGATTTGTATGTAACTCAGATCCCTGATGAACAGCACATATACGGTAATAATAATAATACTATGGCTCATATGTGGTAATAATAATAATAATATGGTGTAACACTGTAAAAATAATACCCCTGTACTGTGGTAATAAGTTACAGAAACTATTGTGCTCTTTCTCGTAAGTCAAACAAATGGAACATAAAAACAAATTCATATAAAATGTTTAGATAGGAGATAGCAGAAATTTCGAAAAAGAATATTAAAGGTTAACACTCACCTGATGTTACATCAATGTTTTGCTCACTAGCAGGGACATTTTTGAGGCAAAGTAGGCTGATGATATTCATTGGAAGCTGATGATGGAGATGGTGCTGAGAGGATGCAGTGGGTGCCGGAGAGTCAGGATTTGGTTCTGTTGCCGGAGGAGGGGAGCTTATCACTGCAGTCAGTTTCTTGAAAAAGGTATCTGGGGTTGTTTGCACAGCCTTTTTCTTTTTTCGTCCTAAATGGTCTTGTAGCAGCTGACGTTCTCACTAACTGCACGTTAAACCTTTGTAAACTACTCCTTAGAAGGATAGTTTAAGATACTTAGTATCTTGCTTCTCAAGCCTAGCAAATCCTGCTTCATTAAGACATGAGGTTTCAACTAATTCTGTTGTAAACTTTCTTCGCTCTGGATTTTCTGATTCTTCATGTTCTTGTGTTTCTATAAGATGCTTCTCTGTCCATTGTACCCCATGATTGCATTAATGTACACAGCTATGATCTAATAAAAAAAGAAAAAATAATAATGAATAAGAAACTACACACAGCAACATGCATAAAACTTATTTATGTATTATTGAGTAAAATAAGTTTGAAACAAAAAGAAAAAAAAAAGGTGCTTCTCTGTCTACCTATGAAACTAACCACTAGTGGAAAGGTGCTGAGCCAGCGAAGTGCCAATGCCACATGGGTTTGTTTATGTGCATGGAAGAAACTAGTTCCTGAATTATTAATTTAATTATTGAATTATAAATTATCCTTGTGGGGAGCCTTGGGAGCCCCTTCAAAAATACAGAATGCCATAGTCATGTTGTCTATAACCTGGAGAGTGCTTGGAATTTGTTGTATATTTCAAAATATCTAGAAGAGAAGAATTCAAATGTTCCCAGCATAAAGAAAAATGGTAAATGTTTAAGGTGATGGATACCCCAACTATCCTGATTTGATCATTACAGATTATATGAATGTGTCAAAATATGACACAAATCTGGAAAATATGTACAAATATTATTCATCAATTAATAAAAAGAGGATAGCAGAGGACTTTTTAAGAGATGGAGTCTCCCTCTTTTGCCCAGACTAGAGTGCTGTGGTTTGATCATAGTCCGCCAACTGCTCCTCAAGCAATCCTCCTGCCTCAGCCTCCAAAGTAGCTGGGACTATATACCAAGTAGCGGAGAGTATAGGCGTGCACCACCACACCCAGCTAACCTTTTAAATTTTTGTAGAGATGGGATATCCCTACGTTGCCCAGGCTAATCCTGAATTCCTGTGCTCAAGAAATCTTCCCACTGGCCTCCTAAAGTGCTGGGATTAGAGGTGTGAGCCATCAGGCAGGCCCAGAGGACCTTGTACATCATACTGGGGGGGGGGGAAGGGTCGCTGAGACTGAAAGGTTTGAAGAAGGTGTCACATACACTTCTTAGATAGATCCCTATGGCTCCTGTCTGGGAGATGGTTAGAGAGAGGTAAGAGTGGAAGAAGAGAATCCAAACAGGAGGCTACCGCAGAGGTATGACATGGTGGGACTTGTACAGTGACTGTAATGCTGAAGATAGAGTGGAGAAAGAGGTGGTCACCAAGACATACCTCAGAAGTGGTATATTAGGCGGCGCCTGTGGCTCAAGGAGTAGGGCGCCAGCCCCATATATTGGGGGTGGCGGGTTCAAACCCGGCCCCGGCCAAAAATACAAAAAAAAAAAAAAAAAAGAAAGAAAGAAAGTAAAATTAAAAGTAGTGTATCAACCAGCCCTAGATACATCATTGGCTGTGTGTGTGTAAAGGATTGAGGCAAGGCAGGAGACGAGAGTGACTAACAGGTGCAGAGAGATGGTCTTCTGTGAGTCTCCAGTCTCCTCAAGGGTCGGCGGGAAGGGAGGGACAAGACAGAAGCCAAAGAAAGGAGAAGTTTCGAGCTCGAAGGAAGGAACCCCAAGAAGCCAGGTGGCACTTCCGAAGCCCCGCCCCGGGCGCCGGCTCCGCCCCCGGCTCCACCTCTTCTCTCTCTCCCCTCCCCCTCAGCCGCGGCTCATCCTCCAGGGCGGAGAGAGGTGGCATTTGAGTCCTCCGGTATCCCAGCAGGCAGTGCAGCCTAGAGACGCTGACAAAGGAGCGAAGGAGCAGTCGCTGCTGCTTTCCAAGGAGCCGGTGTTGCCGAGGTGAGAGTCCCCCACCGTCCCGTCACCCACTTCCTCTGACTTTGGGAGAACGTGGAAGTTACGTGGCCGAGCGCCCCAGCTGAAAGAAAGACCCATACTGACAGCTGGAGCTTGGCTCTGTGACTGACAGCCGGGCTGCGAGGCGCCGGGGTGCGGGTGGGCGGCAGGGAGGAGGCGAAGGGGTTCCTATCTGCCCCCTCTCTTGACTGTCAGTGGCCCCATTGCCCGCGATTGCCGGCCCCGGGGTCTGGCCGGCCGGTGTGTGGCTCGCTCTTGCCCGGGCGAAGGCAGGCTCGGGAGCCTCCCGGTGCCTGCGCGGCGGAGTTCGGTTGCCCCAGGGATGCGGCTCCTGGGACAACTCTTCAGCGGACGTAGCCAGGAGGGCTGGGGGAGGGAAGTTGCCTATCTGTTTGGGGTGACACAGTCCTCGCCCTTCCTCCACCCAGCCGGTCCCACTGGCTAGCAACTGGAAGGAAATCAGTTGAGCTGGAGCGGAGCGTCCCGGGATGGCTTCAGTTTTGCTCTCTTTGCCTGGAGGGAGATGAAAGTGGGTGGAGAGGCAGGGAGGGAGCGCGAACGCCTTCCTGGAATAAGGGAGGAGGGGGCAGAGGGTACGTGGCCTGAATCCTTCCCCCTCCCTGGACCTCCGCAGGGATCCTGATGGTTGCACCAGCTGCGGCTGTAAACAGGCTCACATGACCGGTTTCACATGGGGCCGCCCGGTGTGGGGACGGGGGTTGGAAAGGCTGGGCCCGATCAGGTGGAGCCGAAGTCCTAGGACAGACGATTTAATACTCCCTCCCAAGCGCTCCAGCCCTTCAGCCCTTAATCCCTTAATCAATGTTCTGCGGTTTCTCCTTTCGGGAAAGTAACTGACATTTGCCCACTCCAGACTGAAGTAGCATTTCTGCCCCAGTAGAATTGAAGAGAACTTACGTCGGGGAACAGAGGGCAAATATTTAGTGAAACTGGTCCTGGAGTTTTGACCTTTGAGGGAAATTAGAAGAGAACACAAACTTGGAAAATGGGCTCTCTTGGATCTTGCCTAAAAAGCTGTCCTGTTCTTTTGGAAGGCATTGGGTTTTTAATGTGAATTCTAGACAGAAGGGGGAAAGTCAACTTTTTCAGGCAAGGCACACTTGGGATTTAATACATTCTTGGTGATGATCTTGTCCATGCTTCCCTGAATACTGGAAAATGTTTTTTACCTAGAAAATATTATATACGAGGTACTAAATAGGGAGGGAGACACCAACTTTTACATTACACATATATTTGGTATAAAGCAGTGGGAAGATTGGAAAACGGGAAACAGGGCCAAATGTGTCTTTCAAGTTGTTCATACCTGCATACTCAAACAGGATGCAAAATTAAACTAGTTTCTGAAGCATTTCGAGAAGTCTCAAAACAACAGAGGTTTAGTCAAATATCAGGATATTTGAACTTTTAGGAATTTTTCAAATATGAGGGGTAGTTGTGATAAATTCCCTATACTGTAATTAAATGTAATGGACAGCATTCAGTGGGAAGTTATCCCTTTATAGGCAAAGACAGAAAATAGAATGAATAGTTTATAAAATAACACGTTTCTTAAATTGTTCATACACATTTTCATCCCAAATGTTTTTTGTTGTTTTGATTTGAGACAGTTTCGCTCTTTTGCCCAGCCTAGCTCACTGCAACCTCAAGCTCCTGGATTCAAGTGATCCACCTGCCTCAGTCTCTCAAGTAGCTGGGGCTATAGGCGCCCACCACAAGGTCAATTTTTCTGTTTTTAGTAGACATGGTCTTGCTCTTGCTCAGGCTGGTCCTGAACTCTGACCTCAAGTGATCCTCCCACCTTGGCCTCCCAGAGTGCTAGGATTACAGGACTGGTCCCCAAATGTTTTATTTTTAATTTTTTTTTCTTAGAGAGCTTTTACATTTCACTCCATTTTCTGAAAACATAAAACAAGAAATATAAGAAAAGATATCCATTCTTTTTTTTTTTTTTTTTTTGGCCGAGGCTGGGTTCGAACCTGCCACCTCCGGCATATGGGGCCGGCGCCCTACTCCTTTGTGCCAAGATACTCATTCTTAATAGCCTAGTGAATAATTTGCTACTGTTCTTTGTTCTTAAAGAAGTCTAAGACAGAATAGAGACAGTCTGTTTGGCTGATTGTAGATTGGACCTTACAATGGGAGAGACATTTTAAATTTTGCTTAAAATTTAACAAAGGAGCAAATCACCACTGTTGCTCCTTATTTTGTATTGCTGCCTTGTAGAATTCTGGAGAATCTTGCCCTACAATAAATATTTTAATTTATTTACTCCTTGAGGCCTTTCATTTCCTCTTCTGTAATATGAAGGTTTTGTTTTATTCTCCAGGGTTCCCTATAAAGTTCAAGTTCCATAGAAGTGTGCAATTTTTTATTCAAAACTATTCTTGGACAAAATAAGTTGGTCAAATAAGCCTAGATATCCAGAGTTGTAATAGAAATAGGAATTAATCACTGTGTAAAATTCTCATTAAGTAAATTATATAGGTTGACCTTTACCCCCATCTCTCTCCATCAGGCAATCGAAGATGGCCTCAGCTAACTCCTGCCTCCAAAATTAGAAATAACAGCTCAACTCGATTTTCTTGTCCTTCGGGGCATAGTACAAAGTCTCATTCTTTCACTCACACTAGCTTTTCCCTAAACTAAACAGACTATGTGATCAGTGATGAAATTAGAATAAAAAGGGAAGGCTTTTTTTTTTTTTTTTTTT